TTCTTAGATATAATTAATTGATAAAGCTATCCTTCTTTGTTCTTAAAGATCATTTAGTTGATGAAGCTATCCTTCTTTGTTCTTAAATATAATTTAATTCATAAAGATATCCTTCTTTGTTCTTAAAGATCATTTAGTTGATGAAGCTATTCTTCTTTGTTCTTAAAGATTATTTACTTGATGAAGCTATCCTTCTTTGTTCTTAAAGATCATTTACTTGATGAAGCTATCCTTCTTTGTTCTTAAAGATCATTTAGTTGATGAAGCTATCCTTCTTTGTTCTATTTTGGCTACGCTGCAACGTCTTGCTATTTGTATAAAGCGGAAAAACTGGACAAAGATTTGAACTAAAAGAGACAACAAATTTTCAATTTCTCTATCTCGTCTTTATTAATCTTTCCCTGTTTTAAAAGACTCCGCATTTCTTGGGTTAGTTGATTGAATGATAAGAAAATAACTCTTGCAAAAAAAAAGAAAAAGAAAAACCTCTGATGTACAAGTTTTCAAACACAAAGTTATTATTTAAATTTTGAACTTTGACAATTAGAAATCTTTAGTTTTTTTTTTGCTTGAAATATCCATATATTTTCTAAGTTAGAACTATTAGCTATTCACAGCTGTTCGTATATGATGATGTTTACCTCCTCAGTGGTTCATTAAGTTGACAGAGATTAGTCTTATTAGGTCAATCCATCGACATGCTCGTCATACGATCAGGATTAATTATCTTATACGTATTCCACTTTAATCTACAAGGTGAGAGATTTCTACTACGAGGCTATTTTGGAGACAAAGCAGTACCCGTGACCTCCTTACTGGTCACTATTCGACAACCAAACGTTATGGACCTGGCAGTTATAAGTGAACTTCCACAAACTATAACTTGTTAATTTTGGGGATTTTTTTAAGTCAGGGGTAATACTACGAAACATAAACGAATAAGTTGTACTGCAGAAATTAATGTTAGATGGTTTCATTCAACCTAAAGGTCAGTACTAAATTATAATTTACAAGTTTAATTATATGCCAGTCACATGTGCCACGTTTTTCTTTCTTCTTATATAACAATATCTTGCAAAGTTTTTGTTATATGATAATAGCAATTTAGTAAACGCCTAATCTAAATCAGGGATCATATAATCTAAGTCCATTATTTATACTTAACAGTATTTCATCGGGTCAATTCCATAAGCATTACAGATATTCAGTTCAGTAGTGTAGGTTTTTAATATTTCTAAAAAGTGTTTATCAGATAGGCAAAAATATACACTTTGATTGTCAAGAACTATAATTTCAATATTTCATTTCTTTCTACTAAGAAGGAGTTTATGTGTTAATTAAAAAAGTTATGTTTTATCTACTCAAGTATCTGCTATTTGTTCTTGTCTCTTTGTCGTCCTCTGAAAAAAACGATTTTTATGTTACCCTAATTTATGTAGAATTATGTTGATTGTACTGAGAAAGGAAGCTTGTAACTTTTGTCCTGTTATTTGATTTTAAAGAGAAAGGGGACAATATGATTTTGTTGCCTAGAAGAGGAGAGATTGCACCACTTCGTTAGATGTATATATTATCCCCTAATATCATGTTATTTAAACAACGAAAGACCTCTTAGTTTCGGCGCACCCTTTGAATCCAGAAAATACAGCTATAAGTATTTAAACTTGACACGTGATGGCTATCTAACCACTATTTAGAGCTCTGTATACACCTCAGTGCTCTCTCGGTCGCTCTGTATGTCGTGCAGTCTATTATATGATCTGTAAACAGTGTAAGAGTTAAAAAGCCATTAGGAAGTTCTTACTATGTATGTTAACTGGTAAAATACATAGAACGTGATCACATCAAGCCTGCGGTCAAACTTGTAGCCTAATATTTTCCTTGATCGTAAACCAATTGATATAAAGACTAAATTATGGTGGCGAGAATACAAAGTTCATTTTAGTCTCATATCAAACAGAAGAGCCTTCAACAGGGACTAAAAGCGAGCCTGACAGTCTGGTGACAAGAATACAGAGTTCTCTTTAATCTCGTGTCAAACAGAAGAGCCTTCAACAGGGACTAAAATCGAGTCTCACAGTCTGGTGACAAGAATACAGAGTTCTCTTTAATCTCGTGTCAAGCAGAAGAGTGTTCAACAGGGACTAAAAGCGAGCCTGACAGTCTGGTGACAAGAATACAGAGTTCTCTTTAATCTCATGTCAAGAAGAAGAGTGTTCAACAGGGACTAAAAGCGAGTCTGACAGTCTGGTTACAAGAATACAGAGTTCTCTTTAATCTCGTGTCAAGCAGAAGAGTGCTCAACAGGGACTAAAAGCGAGCCTGACAGTCTGGTGACAAGAATACAAAGTTCATTTTAGTCTCATATCAAATAGAAGAGTGTTCAACAGGGACTAAAAGCGAGCCTGACAGTCTGGTTACAAGAATACAGAGTTCTCTTTAATCTCGTGTCAAGCAGAAGAGTGTTCAACAGGGATTAAAACTAAACCCTATATTCAAGCGGCGAGAATACAGAGTTCTCTTTAGTCTGGTGACAAGTACAAGAACGTCCAAAAGGAACTAAAAGTGAACCTGACAGTCTGTTGACAAGAATACAGAGTTCTCTTTTTGTCTCGTGCCAAGTATAAGAACGTTCATAGGAGCTAAAAGTGAACCAGGTAGAAACTACTGTTCGCAACAATCACCAGGTTTAACGCTACAGCGTTAAAACTAGAAGGACACTCAACTATTCTGTTACATGTTGTCATGCATTAATTTTGATTCGGATTTGATACTTAATTACTAGTTATAAACTCATTGGATAGAAGTTTTGCTGTATAAAAACGTGACTTATTACCATCAAGATACCAATTATTAGCTATAAACTCATTAGAAAGGAGTTTTGCTGTATAAAAACATGACTTATTACCAGCAAGATACCAATTACTAGCTATAAACTCATTAGAAAGGAGTTTTGCTGTATAAAAACATGACTTATTACCAGCCAAGATACCAATTACTAGCTAAAACTCATTAGAAAGGAGTTTTGTTCTATATAAACATGACTTATTACCAGCAAGATACCAATTACTAGCTAAAACTCATTAGAAAGGAGTTTTGCTCTATAAAAACATGACTTATTACCAGCAAGATACCAATTACTAGCTAAAACTCATTAGAAAGGAGTTTTGTTCTATAAAAACATGACTTATTACCAGCAAGATACCAATTACTAGCTAAAACTCATTAGAAAGGAGTTTTGTTCTATAAAAACATGACTTATTACCAGCAAGATACCAATTACTAGCTAAAACTCATTAGAAAGGAGTTTTGCTCTATAAAAACGTGACTTATTACCAGCAAGATACCAATTACTAGTTATAAACTCATTAGAAAGGAGTTTTGTTCTATAAAAACATGACTTATTTCCAGCAAGGTACCAATTACTAGCTAAAACTCATTAGAAAGGAGTTTTGCTCTATAAAAACATGACTTATTACCAGCAAGATACCAATTACTAGCTATAAACTCATTAGATAGAAGTTTTGCTTTATTAGAACGTGAGTTATTACCAGAAAGGTACCTAATGCTAGCTACAAACTCATTAGATTGAAGTTTTGCTCTAAAATAACGAAAATTTGACATTAGATTAACTCCATACATAAAACCGTTACTCAAGATTAGTCTTACGTATTAACTAAGCTTAAATTAAGCTTTAAAGCTTTGTCAATTAATTCTTTAGTGACGCGTTACTTTTAACATGTTAAATATAACTTATTTCTGAGAAAATGAACGTCAACAGAAGAAAAGATGACACTAAAGCGTGTGAAACACAAATCAATCTGAAAACTTTACTCAATACTATGAGAATTATAAGCGTCAATAAGGGTTACATTTTTACAGCTTAGTGTTGATGACTTGGCTATGTAGGGGGGAAAAACAAAAAGAGCACTTTCAAGTATTTTAGGTACAACTCAATATTGAGGAACTGCACATCTATATGAAAGACAGTCAAGTATGTAAAAAATTTGGACCCATTCTGTGAAAGTGACTCTATGAAAGTCATAGTAAAATATTTGAACATTTTGAATCAATTTTGAAAATGTGACTCCATATTAAAGACAAATCATTTATGAGGAAAAAGTCAAACATCCAGAATACAACTCAATAAACTTAAGAATCTTTTTCTTCATTTTTAGACTTGATTTTTGGATCGCTGCTAAGTTCCACTTCATGTCAGGATCCAGCAGCGATCCATAATGTCACCTAAAAACCACGAGAAGAGCCAGAAAAGTCACCACAAAACACTGTAGAAAAACAATAACAGATAATTTAAGCATGTTTAGAGACGACATCAAAATTTATGAAAGTAATCGTGTTACTCTTTGAAATTTGGTTTCGTGACAATATTTAGCACAAAGAAAATTTTACACGATATCACAGAATTTATAAATCTTACAGTATATTACAGCATCTATAAATCTTACATGATATCACAGAATTTATAAATCTTACAGTATATTACAGCATCTATAAATCTTACATGATATCACAGAATTTATAAATCTTACAGTATATTACAGCATCTATAAATCTTACACGATATCACAGAATTTATAAATCTTACAGTATATTACAGCATCTATAAATCTTACATGATATCACAGAATTTATAAATCTTACAGTATATTACAGCATCTATAAATCTTACATGATATCACAGAATTTATAAATCTTACAGTATATTACATCATCTATAATTCTTACAGGATATCACAGCATCTATATGCCTTACAATATATCATAGCATCTATGTCTTACACAATATCACAGAATTTATAAATCTTACAGTATATTACAGCATATATAAGTCTAACAGGATACCACAGCATCCATATGCCTTACAATATATCATAGCATCTATAAGTCTTACAGGATATCAAGACATCTAAATATTTCTATACTATGTTTACGATAATGACAACTTGGCATTCTAGTCAAAATGTAGTTATAGGCTTTACCTGATGGTGACCTATCCTATACAGTTTCTTCACAAGATTCCATATAAAAAGGGCCATGACGACGTCAACTTTGCGATCACAAATGTGTCTCGAATATCATCCCAGTAGTTTTGTACAGAGTCAAACTGTATCGTATCATATTCGCATTTCGGAATAACTTTGTAGTTTCCCACAGCTTTACGAGTTGCTAGAAAAAGTACTCGAAAACGTTATCTTCTACCACTACCAAATTATTTAAGATCGTTATCTAGAAGAACAAAGGAAAAAAAAACTTGCGACAGCATTTTATCAAAATGGACTCCAACTGGTTTGCAGTCTATAGTTTTCCCTGTAAGTAGTACAGTATCACTGAATAGGTTTAGTGAGAAGTCACTCACCGTGAACTACGTGAAGAAATGCTTCATGGTTAGCTAATAAGTTCTGAATTCTATAACACTATGTGTCACTCATATCCGGCCAGTTGGCAACTATATGATGGTTGTGGTAGTCGTTTCAGGAAACGCTACCAATTTCCTCTCAGAAAACTCTAACCGTCTTTGTGGACGTTTCTGCAACGGTATTCTATTTTAACCCGTCCCAAACGTCAACTGAAGACTAATTAAAGAACGGATTGCGCGAAGAAAACGCACGCTCAGACTGACACGAAAGCTGATGAAATAAAAACAAACAGCATACGTGAACTGGGTGTTATGAAGCAGCTCACACCTTCTAACCCAGGTCTTGAATAGTCCGAAAGCTGGAAGCACGTGAGACGTTCGCTCTGTACCTGCCCTATATCATCGTTGTGCCTTGGGCTATATCAGCCAACTTCGACTTTCCAGTAGAGTAATCTACAGGCATAAAGTGATGGCTTTTCATTATACATGAGGAAATTACTATGAATTGGCCGTTGTTCACATGAAGAAATAGTAAAACACCCATATGAAACTAGCATGCAGGATGCTAACTTCCTGAGACAAATTATGGCGCAGTGAATCATCTAAGTGGTAATCATTATATTATTAGGGTAATATTTGCCAAAGTTTCACAGCAAACAATAAATGCTCACATTGCAGCCTAGATAACAACTTTAAAGCTATACACGTATACTACACTGCATAAGAAGGGTTGGCTATAGAAGTACTCAAAAGCATTATCTTCTCCTAGTACATAAGATTGTTATCGAAAACAAACTCATCCAATAACCCTAATACAATCACACAAAATGAAGAGCTAATTTTGAAGCATAATGTTGTGTTCACTGATCTGTCGGAATCCGATGAATTTGTCTAATCATAACATCACATTAAGTACGTATAGTAGCCAGTAACGAAAAAAAAACTTCTTTAGTATCTGAAGCAACGAGAGTTAACCCTTTATAAAACCTACCTGGTAGAGCGCTCTAAGTGACATTGTCACGGATCCTGAAAGTCATCCTGCATCCTATAACTCTAATAAGATGTCCTGATAATGTAGGAAGACAATGTCAGGAGCTGGCTATTTTCTGTCGGTAGTATAAGATTTTATTTTGAGAAATAAATGTAGCGATCCTCAGTTTAATTTACAGACCCCTCCCCCAAAAACAACAACAACAAATATATGAGCGGATTAAAAGCTTGTATGAACTATTGCCCTTATGGGGATCTTTCTTTTTTTAATTGTTTGTTTGTTTGTAATTAAGCACAAATGGGCTATCTGTGCTCTGCCCATCACGGGTATCGAAACTCAGATTCTAGCGTTGTAAGTCCGCAGACATACCGCTGTGACACTGGGGGGCTTTTTTAATTGTTCGTTTGTTTGTAATTAAGCACAAAGCTACACAATGGGCTATCTGTGCTCTGCCCATCACGGGTATCGAAACTCAGATTCTAGCGTTGTAAGTCCGCAGACATACCGCTGTGACACTGGGGGGCTTTTTTTTAATTTTCAATGGTAAATATAGGGAAACTAGTTATCACATCTAAAACTATGAGCTATGCAAAAGTCAATTCACAAGCAAGTTAGTTAGTGAGAAACGTGTGTTGTCTCTCTTGTAACATGTTCATTTAGATATCTATCTATATACACTTGCTAGGTGACTACCGACATATTTAACAGGGTATGACATTCTGGTTTCATTATTACATCGCCATATTAAATCTCAAAACCTGTTTAACAAGCTATTCTCCAACGATATAATGCATACATCAACGTACACGTTGTGTAGTCGTAGAGATAATGGAAAAATATATGAGATTTTAATTTACCGCTTTGCATAACACTTTTATGTGTTTACTTTCAAATCAAGAACTGAATGCATTATGCTCAATGTAATATTTTCATTGTGAAATAAACTACACCTTCTAGTGGTAATTTGTCATACCTACGAAACATGCATATTTACACACGTAGCATAACTTTAACCAGTTTTACTACTGTACTAACTATTTTCGACCTCATGCCATGTTTATCTTCTGTAGCGATCTCTTCAACTAAAGTAATCATTTTATATTGATGAGGTTTAAAGATTTGAATTATATATATATACATATAATGGCTAGAGACGGCTTGAATGGGTAATGAAGAAAACCTTTAATATAAGTTTAACATAACAGCAAATGTACAACGTTTCGACAAGGTTTTGTCATCATCAGGTACCATCAGGTACCACAGGTATATATACATGTTGTGTTTTTTGGATAGAATAACCTTTGGTCGTAAAAAGTACACAGGCAACTCATCAAAAGAAACACTGAGTGACTTTTGATTAGCTTACTTGTATTATACATTTAGTACTTGAGGTAGATTTCAAAATTATTATCACAGCATTTTCAAATCGCTATAAGTAGCAATCATGCCTTTTATAATATTCTTAACCGTATTATAATATTCTTCTATAACTTAAAAACTTTTATGGACGACTTTCGTCACAAAACGTTACAATCTTTAGTGGACTTTTATCATTGCCCTGCATATTCCCTCACCTCCCCAGTGGCTCAACGGTAAGTCTATATGCTTACAGCATTAAAAATCGGGTTTCGATACCCGTGGTGGACACAGCACAGCTAGTCCATGGCGTAACTTTGTGCTTAACGATAACCAAAACTAAATCAGTATATTGAGAAAGTCGCTAAAAAAGACACGAAGAAGGAGTAAAGATCAGTGGTGTTTGTCCTGCATATTGAGAAAATCACTAAGAAGTCACGAAGAAGAAGTAACGATTTGATGGTGATTTAACATATGTTTCTCCTAATGTATTGTATAGTGTCGACATGTACAAGTGTGTCAACATTTTAATGTAAATGTAATATAATCGTTCCTAATGTATTGTATAGTACAACTTTGTGTCGACATGTACAAGTGTGTAAACATTTTAATGTAAATGTAATATAATCGTTCCTAATGTATTGTATAGTACAACTTTGTGTCGACATGTACAAGTGTGTCAGCATTTTAATGTAAATGTAAAATAATTATTCCTAATGTATTGTATAGTACAACTTTGTGTCGACATGTACAAGTGTGTCAACATTTTAATGTAAATGTAAAATAATCGTTCCTAATGTATTGTATAGTACAACTTTGTGTCGACATGTACAAGTGTGTCAACATTTTAATGTAAATGTAAAATAATCGTTCCTAATGTATTGTATAGTACAACTTTGTGTCGACATGTACAAGTGTGTCAACATTTTAATGCAAATGTAATATAATCGTTCTTAATGTATTGTATAGTACAACTTTGTGTCGACATGTACAAGTGTGTCAACATTTTAATATAAATGTAATATAATCGTATTTTCGCTGTTTCACATAAAATAAATAAATAAATATACAGAGTAAAAGTTTCTCAGCAAAAGAAACTGGATAAGTGGAAAATTATCCTTCCACTGATTCACTGGCGGGAAAAAAGTAAAGATGGTTAAAAGTTCTCAATAGGAAAAACAACAACAACGAGTTAACATGTGAACAAAAACTAAATCTGGCAAGTTCAGCATGGAAACCTATCTTTCACTGTTTCACTAACGGAGGTAAATATAGTAAATATTTCGAAGGGAAGAAACTGGTTAAAGTAGAAAATTACATTTTTCCTGTTTTCTTGACGACATAAAAAGAATAAATACAAAATTTTCAGCTGAAAAACTGGTTAAAGTGTAAAACACAGTTTTGTTTTCTTTGTCACTTTAGGAAATTATAGATGTTGTATGTTTAAACACAATCTATAAATATTCTGCATCGACATGACCAATAAGCTAGTAAACTTCAACAAAACCACCGTAAGTAGAGGAGAAGAAGCTTTGTGTCATAAATACATTTCTAAAAGGTCTACAATGAAAAGCCATTTCACGACTTGGTACTATTTTAATGGGTTAAATCTTAACGCCGAATACACTGAGTGGTCACAAGTAAATAGACACCTAATTTTTCGTCATTTAACTGATTTATGATAACCAATTTGTGTTCACAGAGCACTATGTAAATGAAAATGGTCCGCAC